GCACTTAATTTGCTCTCCCGTGTGAGCTATTGTCGAAGGATGAACGGGGCAGATTAGCGGGTCAGCCTAATCTCCCGGGATTCGTCTTCTCAAAGGACCCCCGGGCTCTGCTCGGCGGCCTCCGGGGCCAGGAAGGGACATTGTCAAACCGTGTCACGGAGGGCCGCGCGGTTATTACGCACAAAAGAGCAGGGATGCCCGGACCGAAAGTGAAATTAACGGGGGGGACTCTGGTGGGGAGTCTCTCCAGCCTCCCCCCTGGAGAAAAATACCTACGACGTGTAGGATTCATTAAAAAACAACGGTCATTCGTTTGGCAACTAGAAAATGATCCGGAAAGTATAGCGGGGGGGGGGTGTTTCGGTGTTACGACAATTCAGCCCCATTTGTTAAGTGAGTTGTGCCCCGTTTTACGACCTTGCTCGCCACAGTTGTTAAGGGAACCCCTGCAGTTAGGAAGTTAGTCACACGTTGGTTAATTGAATCTGGCTTCCGCCGTCGACTTCGCTTGTCTGAAGGTCGCAAAAGGGGATCGGATGATCCCGGGGACGCTGTGACCGTCATAAGTATGAGTCAATTGCCAAGCATGCAGACTGCTATCACGTGACCCTGGGGATGCTGCAGTGGTCATAAGTAGGAGTCGGTCTGAATTTCGATCAGGTGACCCATGGGCGATGCGGCAACGGTCGTTTAAGTGTGAAAAAGGGTCATAAGTCCCTTTTTTCAGTGCCGTTATTACCACCACAAATGGCCACTAAACAAACGGTCGCAAATCGAGGAGTACCTGTACCCAAAACGTCATCTTAACCCAAAATATAAATTATTGATTGCTGGGGACTCCCGATTCGAGGAAGCAAATTCAGGGCAGGACAAATATTTCCATTCTTGCAAATTTCTTCAAATTTCCATCCGTGACAAAATTGCATCGGTTTATGTGGGTGTAAGATAGAACTCAAGATGATGATGATGATGATGATGATGATGATGATGATGATGATGATGATGATGATGATGATGATAATAATAATAATAATAATAATAATAATAATAATAATAATAATAATAATAATATAAAGTTGGAAGGGATCTTGGAGGTCATCTAGCCCAACCCCCATAATCCTCGACTTTACGACCGTTCATTTAGCCACCATCTCCAGTTGTAATGACACTGAAAAAAAGGGACATAGGACCTTGCAGCATCCCTGAGATGATCACGTGATCAAAATTCACATGATTGGCAACCGACTCATATTTACGACCGTTGCTGTATCTTAAGGCCATGGGGTCCCATTTTTTGACCTTCTGACAAGCAAAGTCAACGGGGAAGTTCATTTAGCGACCGTTCACAGTTGCAACGGCACTGAAAAAAGGGCCTTACGACCGTTTTTCACGCTTGCGACCGTTGCAGTGGTCACATGATCAAAACTGAGATGCTTGGCAACTGGCATGTACTTACGGCGGTTGCAGCGTCCCGGAGAGGTCACGTGATCCCCTTTTGTGACCTGCTGACAAGCGAAGTCAGTGGAGGAAGCTGGATTCGCTTAACAATATCCAGTATCTCAGGGGCTGCCCCAAAGAAGAGGGAGTCAAGCTGTTCTCCAAAGCGCCTGAAGGCAGGACAAGAAGCAACAATGGATGGAAACTAACCAAGGAGAGAAGCAACCTGGAACTAAGGAGAAACTTCCTGACAGTGAGAACAATTAACCAGTGGAACCACCTGCCTCTAGGTTGTTAAATGCTCCAACACTGGAAGTTTTTAAGAAGAGACTGGACAGCCATTTGTCTGCAAGGGTATAGGGCTTCCTGCCTGAGCAGGGGGTTGGACTAGATGACCTCCAAGGTCCCTTCCAACTTTATTATTATTATTATTATTATTATTATTATTATTAACAACTGCGTTACTAGCTTAACAAGCGAAGTAATTCACTTAAAATCTGTGGCAAGAAAGGCCGTAAAATGGGGCAAAATCCCTTTAACAAATGTTTCACTTAGCAACAGAAATTTGGGGGTCAGTGGTGGTCAAGGCCGAGGACGACACCTGTACTGATTTACTAGACTCACCTCGGAGAGTCTGCGACACCCAACAGCTCTATAAAATGGATCTGAAAACCGTGGAGAGATTTAACCCCCCTCGACTCACCTGGCTGCCGTTCTTTCTTCTCAAACTGCTCCTTCGCTTCTCTCTCTCTGTCCTCTTGACTGAGCGGGTTCCCGGATTCATCGCGAGGAACTATTTTTCCGTGAAAAGGGCACTTGAGGATGAAACAGTGACAGGGATGTTTAACGGTCCAGAGTGTGCTTCCATTACAGGGTTAATTGGCTTAAACTGATCAGAAACATCATCAATTCCATAAGACATTTATTTGGAAAAGGTATTTAGATAATTCTGGGATATCTTAACATCCAGTAGATAATATTCGCCATACAGAGACAATATTCACAATAGCCTGTGAGATCAATAAATATCCCTCGTTTCTAGCCTCTGAAAAGTTTCCAGTTTCTGATCAATAAAGATCAATAAATATCCCTGTTTCTAATTTCCGAAAAGTTTCACTTGAGTAAACACTGAGAAAAAAAGAAGATTCCCACTACAAAGAAGTTCAGGGTATTAAATTTGTGGAGAAGACTCTTAATAATAATAATAAAAGTTGGAAGGGACCTTGGAGGTCATCTAGTCCAACCCCCTGCTCAGGCAGGAGACCCTATACCAATTCGGACAAATGGCTGTCCAGTCTCTTCTTAAAAACTTCCAGTGTTGGAGCATCCACCGCTTCTGGAGGCAGGTTGTTCCACTGGTTAATTGTTCTAATTGTTAATTGTTCTTGTGGGTCCCCTGGACTGCAAGGAGGTCCAATGGGTCAATCCTGAAGGAAACCAACCCTGACCGCCCTTTGGAAGGACAGAGACTGAAGGTGAAGCTCAAATACTTCGACCACGAGATAAGAAGAGAGAACATGTTGGAGAAGACCTCAATGTTGGGAAAGATGGAAGGCCGAAGGAGAAGGGGACGGCGGAGGAGGAGATGGTTAGATGGTGTCATCAACATGATGAACGTGAAATTGGGCAAACTCCAGGAGACCCTGGAGGACAAAGGGGACCTGGCATGCTGTGGTCCACGGGGCTCACGAAGAGTCGGACTCCATTTAGTGACTGAACAACTACAAAATTAAATTTGTTCACCCTCTTTCCGACTCTTAATGTCTGTTTGCAGAGCCTGCATGCTCAGAAAACAAGGATTGCCAGTTTAGGAGGCTCCCCCTATTTGAATCTGGCACGCTCTTCCTCAGATGTCTTCCATCATGTTCAAAACATTACAACAAATCAGGGGTCTTCCAACTTGGCCCTTTTATGACTTGTGGACTTCAACTCCCAGAATCCCTCAGCCAGGCACGCGTGCCTGGCTGAGGGATTCTGGGAGTTGAAGTCCACAAGTCATCAAAGGGCCAAGTTGGAAGACCCCTGACATAATGTGAGGGAGAAATAATGCTAACTCAGAAAGAGCTAAACCGATGTTTCTCAACCTCGGCCATTTTAAGAGGTGTGGACTTCAACTCCCAGAATTCCTCAGCCCGCGTGCCTGGCTGAGGGA